TCTCTTCCTCTTCCACCTTTTCCAGTTATCCTGGATAATTGAGAGTTGGCTGTGCTGAAAAGTCAGATGATTAAGATTTTTCTAAACTGCCTGCAGGTAACTTTGAATGCCTTTTTTTTTTTTTTTTTTTTCCCCCCTCTGTGTGTCTAGTTTAACTGAACAGTTTAATTGAACTGTGAAGTTATCCCGAATGTTAAAAATACAATTCTGTTTCTAAAAGCTTTCAGTTAAACTGGTTTAGCTACAGAGAATAAGTAGAATTAGGGATTTCTTTCCTCTGCTGGCACTTGGACTTGATTTTTCTGTATTTTTTCTCATTAAGCAACCAAGAGGATGACTTTTTTTGTCTGAAAGCTTGACTGCTCATTAAAACCAGACAAAATAAGGATACAACTAAACTGACAACTAAGGGTGAAGGTTAAATCCTTTGAACCACACTGCTCATATTTGGTTCCACCTGCAGCACAGCCATGGGGCAAGAACAGTTCTTGTGCTTAGCCTTTCAAAAGGTATGCTGTGCACACCTTACCCTCATCCTGCTGGCAAGTTCTTTGCTGTGTGCATTCAAGAGAACAATTTCTGAGTGTTATTCTGAGGGGGAAACCATGTGGATAAAATAGAGATTTCTGATGTGCGTGAGGATAACTAATTTTCTTTTGGCAAGTTTCAAGTGTGGTATTTAAAAGCAAGCCAGTAGATTTCCAAACATACTGAACACTTCTCTAAACAAACTATGAAGAATCCAGGTTGAAGACCTGTTTTCCAGCAACAGGGACACAGGACATAGCTGTGCCAGGTATCTTGAGCAACTGGAGAGCCTCAGACTGTTCCACTCACTGCCCTGGCATATTGTGTCCTTAGTGTACCACAACTACCCAAATCTGGTTCCTTTCATGTCCTGAGCACATGACATTCCAAAGAACATTTTTCCATGAGGACCTAGGAGTCCTGATGTGACAAAATGGGGAAAAATCGGAAAATTAGTCATAATCCTGGGAAAATGTACACATGCTTATGAAGGGATCTTGGATCAAGTGGTAAGAGTTGGCAGCTTCTGAAGGTCTAGAAGATAAATGACAGTGGTCCCCCAACAGCTTAGCTTAGAAAAAGCTCCTGCCACATGTGCGTACGTCATCTTTGGAAACGTCAGATTGTGGTTTAAGATCGAGCAGGAAGCCTGGCCTTTGTGGCTTCAGTGGCAGCCAACGCCTGCTTCAGGGAGTTCATATAGAAGCGAACTACTGCTCGTTGTGTGAGCAGGACGGGCCGTGCAGCGAGGGAAACTGATGCTGAAACATCACTGGGAAGGTTGCTTGATGGTAAGACTTCAAGGAAAAAAAGAGCCAGGGATGGCTGTAATCTGGAAGTAATGAGTACTTTTCCCCTTGTTCATAGCATTCCCTGAGAGGGTGTGTGGCTATTGACTTTGTGGCCATAGAGGACAATTTATTTTCTTACCCATATTTAGTAAGTGTTTTCAAAGTGCACATTAAAAAGAAAGCAAAACAAAAATTACCTCTATTGACTGATGTGCTGTTAATAGAGAAGAATCTCTTCTCCCCTTCTTACTGTATTTATGGGAACTGCTGGCAATACTAAATATTATCTCTGAAAACATCTCTGTTTAAACTTAATCCTCCCATAACCCTTCAGCCTAGGCTGTGGCATATGAAACAGGTCTGAAGTATCGTCGCTCCTATACTCGTGCTACTGTCGGTTTCTGCCTCATTGTTTCTAGGATCCACTAAAGAAACCAGCCCATTCCTTAATGTTGTGTGTAAACAGGGAATCGCTTTGATCCACCTGAACCTTCGAATTGTCAGGCTATCTTCCTGAGAGTATGTCTGACAAATGTGTGTGCTCTGCAGTGCACTCCAGTGAACTTCTGGAGGTGGAGGCCTGAAGAGTTGTTATGAAAGCAGCTTCCCCCTGAGCTGTAGGTATGAAGAATGTGCTAAAATAACAGTCAACTTTCAGAGAATTGAATGTCTAAGTAGCTTCCCAACCACCAGCTCCCCTCTGGGAAGAAAGGATACCTTCTTATCTAGCCAGAATCTCTTTATCTCCTATTTTTGCCAAGGAAAAGTCAAGGCTGGAAACAAGTTTTCTAACTTGGCTGAAGCGTGAGGGAGGATCCTCAAAGGTGCTACCTGTGCCCATTGTCTCCTAACAATTCTGAGGGGTTTATCTATGCTATCTTCCACTAAATGGTTTTGCTGCCTTAGTGTCGACTTCAAATCCCACACTGAACTCAGTCAGCTCAGTGGGATGTTACTGTAGGCATAGCAGCAACAATTTACAGCATTCCTTGTGGGTCAGCCCCGTGCCTCTGACAGACAGGATCCCTGATAACCTGGGATTTAAGTGACTTGATACCTGAAAAGAGATGGGGAAACTGTGCCTGACTTTAGAAAAAAGCAGAGAAACAGTGCTGAGCTTTAGAGTGAATCGAGAATAAGCAATAATTGATTGTCCCAGCAGATATTACTGGTTTAGGTATCTCTAACTTGGTGGTTGTTCAGAGACCACAATTGGACTGCTGGATTCCACGTGCAATCTCAGGGAAAGGAAAAGTACTCTGGGGTAAGGTGCCTCAGCAAGTTCTGGGATAATTGCATGCCCTCCTCCCTACCTCCTGGCTGCTGCTCTGTCACCGGGCAATTGCTGTTCGGAGGGCAGGGAAGGCCAGCTTTAAAAGATACCTCGGGAAGACTTTCAGAGTTTGTTATACTAGTGAAGCTTCATTAAATTGGAATGGGGAGGACAGACCTGTCTTGATCTAATCAGAAGGGCCATTTGCTGAAGATGGTGCATTACTTTTCAGAGCTGTAATTCATTGTAGAGCTGTGACTGAGAAGAAAGCAGCCAGCTGTTGGCCTGGAGTATAGGCCAGATGCTGGCCTCTTCCAATTGAATATGAACTTAAAATCCATGTGAGAGATCTGACTTGAGAGGAAGTGGCAGATGTACAGACTAGCTGGCTTGGCTTTCTTCACAGAAGAGGATTTTTTTGTTCCATGATCTTAATTGGTGCTGAAGGAATTCTAGCAGGTGAGTGGCAGCATCCTTTCCTTTTTGCATGGTAGAAGTTTGGTGAACAAAGCATTGGCTCCTTGTCTGTTAAAGACATGAGAAATCTATAGACTGTACTACAGACTTAGAGTGGGATAGCTTCACTTTTCTCCATCCCTCTCCGAATGAAGCAAGAAACAAAAGGGGCAGACACAGAGTTTATTGTAGCATCAGCTCCAGATTTGCCACATGGCAGTTTAAATGTCATCTTGAAATGACATTTCAAGGTGGGGGTGTATACAGACAAAGAATTCTTCTTTGGTAGAGACTAATTGACTCGAAAGATCCAGATTTTAAAGTATAGCTCTTTTGTGACATATATATGAGCAAAGTAGTGACATGGAACTAAGGAAACCCTCTTTTCACGAGTTTGACTTACAGGATTAATGACAAATCTACATATTTCCTCCCATATTGCAGCTTCTTTTTCTGCCTGAGTAATTGGAAATATGAGTTGTGGCTGTTTGGGTCGTGTGTTTCTCTGGTCAGTGCTGGCATGTTGACTTTTTCTCAGAAGTACTTATGGATCTGAAAGTCATATTGCCTTCCCTAGTAGCAGGAGCAATAAACCAGGTCCCATCTGTTCTCACAAGGTACAGAAGAGTACTAATACCTGCCTCTGCACCTATCAAATTTGTTTGGAGTTACCCAGCAGTTTTGAGTTTGTATGGGAAACATGGCCAAAAAAAAAAAAAAAATCCCCCTTCAGTATAAATATCCATTTAACCGAAGAAGCTGTGGCTGAGTGGGGTTTCCCTCAAAATTAAAAACATTCCTGTGATCAAGTGTAAAGAAACATTAAATTTTGCAAACGTGTTTTTTCCTTGAGAGCTTCAGATATTTGTGTAAGGAATTGCACGATAGAAGTGTTGAAATGTGTCTCCATGTGGTGTTGGGGAGAGCAGCGTATGGGGATGGTATGTGTATGTTTTTTGGTTTGTTTGTGTTTTGATTTTTTGAGTGTTTTGTTTGTTTTTTTTTAATGCCACTCATTCAGTTGTCTTTATCCCAGTTTTTTCCTTCCTCCTTTGTAAAACCAGTACATGCAGATTTTTAGTCCTAACTTTTTTGTGAGCATCGCAGTTACGCATGACATGGTTATTCATCCAGGTCCGAAGTTACCATTAGAGGTCTTGCAGGTTAAAACCATACTAGGTTGATGGGATATATATTCTGCAAGTCTTTTTCCTTCATTAAAAATAAGGGCTCAACTTTGTTTTCTTGATTCCCCAGGTGCACTTTGTATGTTTATGTACAAGTCTGTTTTTGCTGTGACAGTGCTTGATAGGCTATGGCTCAATTGCTCAGTCCTCAGCTATGAGCAGTGTCACATCCTGCAATTTTAATTGCTGTGTTCTATACTGTCAGAACATTATACCTGAGGTTTGCAAGCTGTTTTACATTCCTCCTCATAAGCGTGTGTTTGCCTGCCTGCCGGCTGGCTGTCAGGTTTGCTGTGCCTCTTCAGGTGGCTGAAGAAGCATTTGATTTATTTATCCTAGTTGTCTAGTACAGTCTGCTGTGTCTCAGAGACGTTCTGAAAGGTGGTGGGGGTGTAGCAAGGCTGGATCTCTTAAAGTTATTTTGAAACAAATTCTCCAGATGCTATATCCTCTGGGGCTGTCTTGAAAGGAAAACCTAAAATTAATTGTAAACTAGGCAGTCTTCACACCTGAAATATTTAGAGGATTAGTGAAAAGTTCTGGTCTCTCTATAATGCAGCTCCTTTTAATATTTCCTATGCAGAAGATTGCCTTTTCTGCTCCTATTACCTTCTGAACTGTGAATACTTGGTACGATTCCTAAATGCTAGAATATGCAAAAGATCGCTCGTTTGTTTCTGAATTTCCCCTTTCCCTTCTCTCCTCAGATGTTGTAGGTGCTTGGCTCAACACTTACTGTTTATTTCTTTGTCTTTGTTTTTGTAGACCGAGGTGCTCCTGATCAACCAGATCTTTCGGGAATTTTTTAAAAAGAAACTTTGGTGGGTAAAAGATGTGCCATGGAATGGTAGCACCAAAGAGCAACACAGGATCGTCTCTTGCCTCGACTAGCCATGGGTTATTTCTTCTGCTAGTTATCTTTGGTACCTTTATCGTGGAAGCACAGGCCACAGGTAAGTGAAACCTCTGCATATGCTGCAGGGAGAAGGGTGCATAATTATGGAGGTGGCTTTAGGTTTTTATGGGGAAGCTGGTGATTGATGTATTTGTACACATCTTTCGGTACTCACTGGAAGAATTCAATTATTACTTGTTAAGCAGAGGGCAGTGTCTGAATGGAACAAGTCTTGCATATTACTAAGTAAGTGCTTGTCCTTTACCCTGTCAGTTTTGATTCCCCCAGCATATTTCTCCTCCATTCTCATCTATTCACTGCAGCTGGAGACACTTGGACCATCTCAAGAGCATGGACCACAGTTTTGGTTGAGTGAGATTCTCATGTAGACAGTCTTTATCTATATGCCCTGTAGCAACTGCTCATGCGAAGTAGTTTTGGAAGCACAGGCTGTCTTCAGGTCTTTGTGCAGCTGATGAATTTGTTCAGTGTTTTCCTTGTGTGTTATCTTCTGACACCTCAGCACCTGCTAACTGCACCCCTTTATAGATCCTTTTGTCAGCTTGAGTTTTTCCCTTGCCCCTTTCTAACTTCGTGATGTTTATCTTTTGGATAAATATTATGAATAACGTAAATAGCAGTGCAATGGAATGATATGTAAAATGTCAGCAGAGATGAGAGAACCTGCCTTTTAGAAATGAGTTGGAACAAGAAAATGTACCAGATACAAGGTAATACAGGATGTGAAGTATATGCTTGTTTACAAAGTATAACCCGAAATGTGTCTTTTCTCTCAGGCCAGCCATGATGTAGTTTTTGTTTGTAGGGAGACACTTGATTGTAAGTGGGATGGAATGGAAGGAATAACTTAATGTGCTCTTGCACAGAACTTTGAAGCAGGTTAGTCCCAAAACAGCACATAGGTTTTACTTCAGCAACTGTTGCAATGTAGAACAATAGCTTGCCTCTGAAAACAAAACCTCAGTTCTCAACATAAGGCTAAAAAGTCCTATTTATTTGACATATCATGGCACCTGAAAATGTCTCAGGACCAAGACTCCTCAGCATCAGTGAAGCTTGAATTGGCCTCTGTGTGGTAGAGCAGAATAAATGTTAGATGCCAGATGCACTCAAAGGCAACATGATCTTGTATGGAAAAGTCTGCTGGTGCTGGAAACTGCTGGAGGAGTTGTTGATCTCCTTTTAGTATTTCTAGCCCTTTGTGTTGGAAGGGAGAGGCTGCTGAAATCAGATATCCCAGACTTGTTTGTCTTCCTGGCCTGATTTTGGTTTTGTAGGTAAAGAGGGGGTGGGGGGACACATGTGAGAGTGACAAGTTCGCAAGAACAGATAGTGAGAGTGGGAAAGGGACAAGGTCTCTTTGGATGTGGTCTATGCTTGTTTTTTTTTTCCAGTCTTGCTGTTATTGGTGATAATGTCACTGCCTCATTTCAGAAGTAGGCCTGTCAGATATGCCTCTCAGCCTGGGGCTGGAGTGTGACATCCCTATCTGAAACTCCCATTACACACTGCAGCACCTTCAATTGAGTCTGTAATCAGTATGCAAATGCCTTGTGCTGCACAGGGCTGCTGGATGGGGAAAAGCAGCCACAATACGGGCAAGCCATTTTAATATCATTTTTGAGGCATCCGGTCATGTTAGGAAAAGCACTGGTTAAGCATGTCAGGAGACCAGGGAGTGGTTCTGCATTATTTCCCTTTCTGTGTTCCTTTTGCTTCAGGACCTGAAACCAGCTGTGGTAAACTGATCAATGCATATCATCAGCTAAATAGGATTATAGTGGCTAGACATGAGCCATTTCCTGCAAGGGAAGTGAGAAAGTGAGTGAATATGGAGGAGGGGAGCCCAAGACCATAGCAGAGGGCAGTACATGCAGGGGAGAAAATCCTGAGGGAGGGGAAGAGCTTGCTGAGGAGCAACTTCCACGTGCAGGTTTTCTGTGACTGGGAGGTAGCAACCCAACTGCCAGTTGCTGGGAGGGATGGGGGTGCTCTGCCATGCGTCATGGGCCCGGAGAGCTGCACCTGCAGCAGCACGCCAGCCATGAGTAACATTAATGAGCAAGTCAGCCGAGGAGCGGAGAGCCAGATGGAGAAACAAAGAATATTGGCGAGGCGCTTGGAAAATCATCTTTCCCTCATCCTTGTCCCCCAACCACCCCACCATCCTCACTTTATTACTGTATATAGAAAAATCATATAGAGCAGGCAGAGCAAAGCAATGTTAACATGAGGCAAGAGATTGTATTAAATCTCCAGGTGGCAATGCTTATCTTGAATGCAGGGCCAGTGTGACTTGCTCACAGTTGTTACAAAAGCTGAAGAATGTTCTCAAAAAGACAGACAAGCATGGAGACAATGACTGGCTCAGCTCTGAGTGAGAAAGCAGAGCCTGTGATTCGTATGTTTAAAACCATATAATATATATTGTATTGCAATAATTTTGCTGTTTAGAAATTCTATTGCTTGAGTTCCAGAAGGCTTAGAGATATATTCATGTTCTGGGCAGGAATGTGTTCTCTTTGCCACGTGGTTAATGCAGAGGGCAGACTCATTTCCAGTCAGCAAGCATCTGGTCTGTCCTCTGGTAATAAATTGATTTTATTTATGCATGAATTTTTAAGAAAAATCTTCAGCACTTTGTCTCAAGCAATCTATTCAAATATCCTGGAGTGCCATGAGATGAGTATGATAAGTTGCTTAGTCACTCAGCACACTGCAGAATTTGGGAAAACTGTTCCCTTTTCACAGGAAGATATCCATGAATATAAAAATAACCGCTGTGTGTATTTTAACACAAAACAAACGCAGCATTTGGTGATGGGCAAGCAACGAAGCTATATCAGAAGGGGAGGATTTACAGAAACTTCAGTTCTGTTCAGAAATATTTTTGGAGCTTTATCACTGTTGTGCCTTTTTTTGCCCATCTGGCAAGTTCTTCAAGATTATTTGGGGGAAACAGTGGAGGAATGAGCAGGCAAGGAAACTTGGAAAACAAGGACCTGAAATGCTGAGGCTCGTTTCTTTGTCTTTTCTGTTTGCTTTGAGGTTTCATCTGGAATGTAGAGAAGAGCTGGGGTGCTTAGTAGGTGGAGATGGGGAATTTTTGAAGTGTTGGAGAGGAGCAATAACAACCATTTTGCTTTCTTTTTTGTAGGTAACGCTTCTCCATTCTTTTCTTCTTGTTGTGATTTCCGTACCCCTCCTCCATCCCACCACTGGCCCTTAAGGTTATTCCCAAGCTCTCAAAGGCCTTGTGTTTATATCTCATTCACAGTGGTCCTGCTGTCTGGCCAGGCTATTTTTGGAAGGATAACAGTGGATCAGAATAAGTCGTTCATTAAATTTTAACATGTAGTCTCTAAAATACTCTGAAAGCTTCCTATCATTTGTGTTCCAAATGGTGTAATCTCTCTTGGTTTCATAACCGGCTCTGTCAGAAACCTGTCAAAACATGGGTTGGGCATTTCATTATTGATAATAGCATCACCTGGTCCTGAGAAATGCAAGTAAAGGTGTTGGTAAAAGTGTCGAACACCCAGAGTTAAGTAAATATCAGTACCCATAAAGGAGAGAGTTTACATATTAACATTTAAAAATTAATAATAATGCAGGCTGGGTGAATCTAAGTCCATTTAGATTTAGACACAGCCTAATTTTTGTTGACTGATCATGTGTGAAATGCTATAAAGCTAGCTCTTTAATTTTTAGGATTGACATTAAAATGATAAATTGAGCTTGAATGTACTGAAACTACTTCATTCCTGTGTGTTGTCTCTGACGCAAATGCAGCCAATCTGCTGCTTGCTGGTCTAAGGTCTTTTCAGTGCCAAGGTTATTCTGCACAGAAGCTCTTGGAGACCACTGGTATTTGTTTGAATTACATAGAGCAGCTTGTTAGAGTGCACTGCAGTCACTGAGCAGATTCAGACTTGTTCCTGTTCTTTGGGAATCTGTGCAAAGCAGAGGTTTCCTTTGTCTCTGATTATGCAGCTGAAAGAAAGGCATTTATACAGCTAGGGACGAATTCAATGGTCATAAAAACAAGGACACTATAACATTAGATGGCTGGACAGAAATGTGGGGAGGTGTTGTGCATGAACAGAGGATTTTGATTCTAACCTGTATGCTTCATGTAAGTGTGGGTTTGGAGAAATTATAAGGTTAGCTGTAAGAAGTGTGTAGTTCTCTGGAGAGAAGGGGGAGCAGTTGCGGGTGCAATTCATCTTTCCAGTCCCTTTGGAGAGCTCAGTAAGAGCAGAGTGGTATGGAAGAGCATAGTGAGGAGCTGCAGAATAATGGCCTGGCTGCAAAGCTGGCTGGGAAGCAGATATAGATGGTCCAGACCTTAGACTATTCAAATAGTAATATTCACACTGTTACTACACTGATCCAGGCAGTGCTATTTAAGCAACTGGCTTGGAGGGAGTAATAGGGATCTCAAGAAGCCATACAACTTGTTTAATTTTAACCAGTTCTAATGGCTGAAGAATGAATTAAAGCAAGTGTAATAGTAATCCTGAATTTTCCTTTTGTCTGTCCTAGGTTGGCTCAGCAAATCCAAAGGACCTGCATGTGAGTAGACTTAAATTCACTGCTGTACTATGAGAAATGAGTGTGATGTTTTACTGGTTAACGTAAGTGACTGTGAGCTAGGATTCCCGTTATACTTGTGTTGTGTTGGATAGGCTGAGATCCATCCGTATGCCCCATTTCCATTTTTGCCCCTTGTATTTGGGAAGGATGACTGCTCTCAGTTTGAGAGAGGGAGATCAGTTTCATGTTTCACTGTGCTTAAAGGGATCTCTGCCTTCTAGAGCATTTAACTTCAAATGACTCAAGAAAAAACAAATAGAATAAATAATTCATTTAAATGCAGAGAGAGATGCTGCTTGTGAGAGTTTTGAGAGGCTGCCAGAGAGTATTGAGAGGACAGGGAGGGCAAGCTGAGGCAATCCCCTTTTGTTTCCTTTAATCAAGGAAAGTGAACATCTCATCACAGAGCATGACTCTGGGTATATTCCACTGGATACTCCAGCTTTTCATTTCCTGTGCTCAGAAAAAGTCTAAAATTTTTCTTGTGTGCATGTTATGGATGTACGTAATCTTGGGAGGAATTGGGAAACATATTTGGCTTCTGTATCTGTTCTAAATATATAAAATTTTATGTAAATCTTTGTTGAACTCTGAAATTTGATCTGTTTAATCTGAGCTTTCCCCTCTCCTCAAAAAAAAAAAAAACCAAAACCCCAAAACAAAACAAACAAACAAACAAACAAAACAACAAAAAAACCCCCAACAACAGAAACAGAGTCCAAGGGGAATGGATTCATAATGAATTATTTAAAGGTGTGAGAGGGGAGTTTTACCACCTACCAGATTTTGGTCCTCAGAGAGTGGGAGATGGGAGAAGAGTTGATGGAATCCTCTGAATCCTGGATTTTTATCCAGTGCCTGAATTTTACTCCCGGCAAGACTGGTATCATGCATATCTAATATTAAGGGGCTTTCAATTCTTGATAATGGTTGCTAGCAAGAAAATAAGCTGCTTTAGGAGATAACTCAAGAATTGTCTGGTCCAGCTCAGCTCTTGGGCTAGAATGAGAAAGATGGAAACTGGTAGGAGCTTCTTTGTAGACAGAATCAGGAAGGGGCACTGATGATGTGGTTTATTCTTCCAGAGAAAGTATTTGTGAACTTCAGTCTGTGTTCTGACTCATCACCATCCTGGTGTTGCTTGATGACTGCTGCCCACTAGGTTGAAGATACAGACTTGTCTGTCATCTTATGCAGCTTCCTTCTATCGCTGAGTCTTTCCTCTTTATCTACTTGAGCCAACTCTTGCAAAGAGTTTGGGTTTGTTCCTAAAGTCCTGACTGCAGGACAGAAGAAAGCTTGCTTGCTAAGGCCATGTGCCATTTGACAATTCCTTTGCTGCTTCTGTCTCTTTTGAGTCCTAAATGGGTTACTACTACAGCTGAGATGTTTTTTGGATATGTTGAATGGTTTTCATCTCTGCAACCCATGTCTGCCACTGCTTCTCCAGCTCTTATGTTTAACTATAGCAGCACAAGCAGTTACCACCTCCTGTTTATGCTGCCTGCTATTACTGACTGCAGCAGGGAAGGCAGAACAAGTAGTAAATTTGCTCTGAAACTGTGGCAAACTTCAGCCTGGGCTGTTACTGCAAATGCTGCTGGAATAGCTGGTGTGTGGTATGTAAAGCTGTGGAGTAGATATGTTCTCAGCATACTTACATGGGTGATAAAGGGGAAACAAATGGTAGGGCAAGGTGGGTAGCTGTAGACTGTCAAGTCTTCAGCTTTTGTGGCTGAATCTGGCAAGGCCCCGTGTTAAACCCAGCAATCTGTGTCTAGATGAAAGTTGCTAAAACACTGCTGGTGACAAGCTGCTAGGGTGCTGGAGGCACTTGAACAGCAAGCTCAAAAATGCTTATACCTTCATGAGAGTAATTGGAATGCAGTGACAGGATTATGGCATTGTCTCAAGAGGTTGTACCTGCTTATCTGTATGCACTGATCTGCATCTAAAAAAACATTTTCCTTTTAATGAACTGAAACCTCTGGGGAGTGTTCATCTTTCTCTGCAAGCAGGAATTCCCCTGAGGCTCTGCTTCTGCAGCATTGTACTGGAGGACCTGCGAATTGCTTGCTTCCAGATGTTGTTGAAGGGATTTAAGTAAACCCTTAGGTATGGGGCTGCTTAAATGAGTTACAGGATATGCTAGTTGGATTGTGCTAGAGGGGGCTTGTTGTTAAACTGTTGAAGAATAAAATGAGCTTTTTGGCCCAGCCTAGTACAGTGATCCTTTTATTATGGAAGGGGGAGAAGAACTTCTGGAGTTCCTGTGCTGAGAAGACTGTCTAATTGCAAGAGTTGGTGCGGATGCTGCCTCACTGCTTGTGTACCTTGGCCTGGCTGGTGCTGGATGGAGATACCTCCTGTGTTCTTTCTCTATAGAGCCAATGCCATGAATGCAAGGACAAATGCATTTATCCACTTGGTGTGACAAGAAGCATTTCAGGGGAAGTAGAAGCCAAAGAATTGAACAGTATGGTAACAGAAGAGCATCTTTAAATCTTGCGGTCTCGGCATTTTAGCTCTAGCCAGTTGTCTTAATTTGGTGGGTAAAATCTTACTTGTTCGAGCAGAAAGAAACATTGCTGCTGCTTTTGAGATACATCTTCTACTTCGTCAGTAAAAGGGAGAAGCACGTCTGATTTGGAAAATGCTGCCTTGCTGTAGAGTGAGATAAGCACATCTAGAGAATGCTGTCTTGAGTTTTCAACCCACAGACAGGGAAGAAACATGGTAGGCCTGACACATGCAGAGTCACAACTAGAAACCCAGAGTCTGCTGCTGCTTTTCTGTCTTGAAGGAACATTTCTATGTCCTGAGAAAAAGACCAACATGGTGTATAACAAGTTTTGTCAGATACCCTCAGGCACCCATAAAGCTATCCATCAGAAATAATAAAACTGTTTTGTGATCTTACCAATTTTGTTGCTTAGGCAACTTTGCATTTTCTTCTGCTTCTTTTTCAGCAGAGGTGTCAGCTGCTGAGACAACAGGTGAAATTTTTCTGGTTTAGGTAGAACTAGAATATTTTGAAGGAAGCAGAGCTATCTGGAGACCGTTCAGGCATAGAAAAGGATGAGAAGGAAATGGAGATTTGTAGGAAGGTGGTAGAGTAGATTGAAGGTGAATGAGTATCAGGGGAGAATAAGATTAAAGGAAGGAGAGGAGGGGGACAGAGGCACAAACTGTGATGAGATTGCTTTTGAGTGCAAGTCTTAGTGAAATCCAGGAAGATGGCAAGTTTGTTTTTCCAATTGTATTCTTTCAGTCCCCCACTTCTTTATCTTTCCCCAACAAGCTAGTCTTGTTGCAAATGTTATTGCCAGTATCCCAAGGCAGAAATAAGTCTTGCTGTGACGTAGAAATGTGATGTCCTTGAGCTAGCATAATTTTAACCTTTGGGCCTTCCCATTTTGAATCTCTTAATTTGCATTTACTTCTCAACTACTTCAAATGCTATTTTTAAGTTGACAGTTTGTGCTTTCATGGTGGCTGATTCCTCCATGGCATTTAGTAAGCTAGACTCTACTGTTGAAATAGTTGGGGGAGATGTACAGTGCTGAGAGAGCTGAGTGTTCCCTTGGTACAGGATCCTTGTTCAATTTTGTGTCACTGAAGCAGTAGTGAAACAAATAGTGTGTTTGGTCTGAGGCAGATCAGGGACTGGCAGTCAGGCACTGTTAGCACACTTCTGCCGTATGGGAGAGGAGATGCCTGCAGTGGGGACCAGATCACTGTCTGCTGGTGTGAGGCAATGGCTCTGGTGGGTGAGCACTCTTGAAGTGCAGTGTAGGTGCTGTGCTGGAAGAGGTTAGTCCTTGTGAGAAGTTCTGCTGCTTCTTCGCACCCTGGAGAACTGATTGCCTCTTGAGATGTGCCTCCAGCTGTGGAGGCTCCTCAGGGCTGGAGCACCTTTTCAGAGCACTATTTGGTTTGGTTTAGGTTTTTTTTCCTTTATTTTTTTCTGTCAGTGTTGCCTTGGTCATGTTTAGTTCCACTTTAACCCGCTCTTTCCAGTCATGAGCTGATACCATGTAAGAGTTGAGTCCATGGGTAGTCAGTGGTATGACTGCATGGGAGAAAAGGGACGTTGCAGTCTGTCATCCGGTACACAGGTAGGTCAGCTTTTAGCATTCATGATTCTTGTTGTTACTAAAACCAAGAGAGACTGGTGGAAGCTGCTAATTAGGGGTGTTGTGAGGAGATTCATTCTCTGACTACAGTCAGGATGAGCAAAGACTTAACTGTTTTACCTCATACCTCTGGCCACCTGCCACTTGTCTAAGGCAGGTCAGGAGTATTTCATGCTTGGCCACATCAGGTGTCGTGGAGGGATTTGAGAGGATAAAAAATAATGCCTGTTCTGAATCCGCATCCTCTGACAGCAGGGAAGCATCTATCACGAAGTCTGTTTCCGTTCGCTGAACTCTTAACTTAATTAGTTGCTTTAAATGGAGGAAATTTTTGTCCTGACATTGGTTGGTTAGTAGCACCAAGGGAGGGTACTTGCAGACCTGAATCTTTTGTGGTTTTCATTTACAAATTACTTTTTCATGGCAGCATTTCAAAGCTGCTTGCCAGTATGCATCCTGCACAAACAAAACCAGACACATCTCCCTTTACAGAGCAGTCTGTTGTCTTTCTTCTTTCTGTGGCAATAGGGGCTGGCCTACTCATTAAATGCAGATACTTCTCTATAGGTAGGAGTCCAAACATCTAAGCAGCAGTGGAATGACTGAACTTTCAAGGTGAAATTGTTCTTTTTTTTTTTTTTTTTTTTTTTTTTTCTGGCAAAGGGATTTGGGGCTCTTATGTATTATTCCTGTGGTGTTAGGGTAGCTTCACCCAATCTCACAGTGAAGTGGGAATCACTGTAAACACAGCAGTGTTTGTGAGTGGCAAATGTTGTTTCAGTTTGTAGCTTGTTTTTCCAGTTAACCTGTATTTCACCTGGTGTAAAACTTAGCTTGGTTAAC